CACATATCAAGCTGATCACAAAGACCTTTTGGGCTTTCAAATTAACATTCTTCAGGTCTAAACTTGAAGTACCATATTTATCACTTAAACCATCGATTTATTCTCACAAGAAGAAATACATAAATATTTTTTGTCATATTTTTTTATAAAACTGGAAGTAGGCTATTGCCCAAGACCGTTTGAGCAGTAGTGACCCCAATACACTCCATAGTCCAATAATATAACCAAGACTCATTCCAAGGTACAAATCAAAATTATCTTCATCATCATGAGATTTGTGTCCTCCATTGTGAATAGCATGCTCATCACCTTCACAAGTATTAATGACTGGTTTTCCACAGAGCTTGGGATTTCCATAGTAACTTGATTCATTGAATGAGTCAAGTTGGGTCCCAATTGGGATTCTTCCTGATAGTTGATTGTAGGATAAGTTGAGATGATTCAATCCATTTAAATTCACAATACTATGTGGAATTTCACCTGAGAAATAGTTCATCGAGAGATCCAAACATTCTAAACTTTGCATAAAACCAATATTTATTGGGATTGGTCCGATGAATTTGTTTCTAGATAAATTTAAACTGATCAACCCAACCAAGCTCGTTAATTCAATTGGAACTTCTCCATTGAGATTGTTACAAGAAAAGCCTATTGTCTTCACAGGAGAGAGTACTATATTTGTGTACTCGCATTCTATTCCTTTCACATCAATCGTTAATGAATATGGCAAAGTTATTTCTAAGGAAATTGGCACATGCTTATTAAAAATAGAATGATCCGTAAATGGAAAGCGAAAACCATCTAGGTGAATCCAAGGTTCAAGCCTCTTATTTTTTATGGTCATTGCATCAAGAAGCTTCAATGATTTTAGCAATGGTCCTGAAAGAAAATTATATGCAAGATCCAAAATCTGAAGTCCTTTCAGTTTGAACAGCTCGAATGGAATTGATCCATGAAAGCTATTTGATCGTAAGCACAAGATCTTTAGGGATGATAATCTTTTTCCAATCCATATTGGTATGTTTCCTGTAAGCTTATTTTGTCCCAAATCAAGAGTGATAAGCTTGCTGCAATTTTTTAAAAATGGTATTTCCCCTTGAAAATTATTGCTGCTCAAGTGCAATGACAGTAACATTGATAGGTTTCCTATCCATTGTGGTATTGAACCCCAAAGGTTATTATTTGAAAGACTGATAAAATTTATCTCCATAAAGCTTGAAGTCTTACCCATGCATTTTGGGATCTCTCCTGACAAATTATTTTGTGACAGGTCAAGCATAATCATTTGAGACATATGGCAGATTGAATCAGGTATTTCACCAATGAGATTATTATTAGAAAGGTCAAGCACAATCAAAGAACTCATATTTCTATTTAGATACAATTCAATCCCTTTAGATAACTTATTATTAGAGAAAAATGCATAATATAGGAAACCCGTGATAACAGGAAGATGCCCTTCAAATTGGTTTGACCTTAGATCAAATACCTCTACACATTGTGAAATATTCATTGGCTTGTCAAGCTCACCTCTAATAGCATTATGAGATATATTTAAATATTGATAAAACGAAGGTTGTTTCCAGAACCAACTTGGAATGATATCAGAAATTCCACAATTAGAAAGGTCTAATACCATGATGGATATCTGAGTTTTAAGCCATTGTGGGAAATGAGGCCCTATCATACATGACCTTAGGGAAATGATAAGAAGTTGAAATGGGGGAATCGAGTTGAAGTTAATCATGTTAAAATCCAATTGGTTATATGAAAGATCTAAAACTACCAATTGTGATAAATTTACAAAATTAACTTCTGAGAGACTACCTTGCAATTGGTTGGCGCCAAGAAATAAATGTCTCAATTGTATGAGTTGACCAATGCTTTGTGGAATAGGTCCACTAAGTTGATTATCGTAAAGATCAAGAGAGTTTAAATTACTCATATTCCCTATCCATTGTGGTATGCTCCCATTTATATGATTATTTGATAGACTTAACACCATCAATCTGTTAAACGCCCCCATAATATTACTATGGATCATACCTTGTAGTTGGCAACCATCTAGGTAGAGTATAGAAAGATTAGTCATATTAGCTAATCAAGAAGGGATTGTAGATTTTTTAAACTGATTATAAGAAACATCAAATAAGTTAATGTTTGAGGAAAAATTATAATATGGAAGTGAATTTGGAAGACTTTGTAAGCTACAGTTTGACAATATCAATGTAGAGAGAGTAGGAAGCATCCTAATCTCATGTAACCAATTAGTAGCAAGTGTTAAATTGACCTTGGACATATCAAGATATTTCAATGATAATAGATGCGACATCCATGATAGGCTAGAAGATAAAAGATTATTTCCTTCAAAATGAAGGACTTCAAGATTTGTCAAGTTTCCAATATGAGGTGGAATTACTCCAATGAACCCTGAATAAGAGAGATCGAGATGGCGCAAATTAGTAAGAGAATCAATAATTTGAGGGATGCTTGTGTGATTGAAGAAAATATCAGTTAGTATTAAAGTTTCTAAGTATTGTAAGCGAAAGAGTGATGGAATCAAAGATGTGGCAAATAAAGAACATCCCTCAAAAATGTTGAAACAAAGGGCCCAAGAGAAATCGAGCAATATAACATGGTCGGTTGTGTTGTTGCTACCCACACCCTGCCATAGACAACAATCATTACATGTATTCCATCTTGAGAGAAGGAGGTGATCAGGATCATTGAGACTTTTCTTAAAGGTGATGAGGGCTTCTCTTTCCTCAATGATACAATGCCTTTTTTTCTTGCCGATAATTAAGCTATCTTCGCTTCCCACACTCATGTAGTTGAACAACAGAGAAAGCTGTAGTGGTAGAAGAAGCTTAACTCTCACCATCATTATTTGTTTATTTTGTGGCTCTCATCTCTAGCCCTACTTATATCCATTCTTTTTAATTTAATCATCTATAGGATTTACTGAAAATTAGTTTAATTAATTGTTACATAAATATGATGACTTGATAATCTATTTAATTTATTTATCCATTTAAGCTGGCATAACTCCAAATTTTTAGTGATTATTAAGCTATTTGATAAATTCTAGGAATTAACTTGAAAATAAATCTTTTTCATTGATAAATTTATTAATAATTATATATGGATTTAAATATCCCTCTTTTCCATACAATTCAACAAAATAAATGAATGTAGCCCAATAAATTTCTAGTATGATTGGGACATTGATGTAATAAAAGAAAAAAAAAATGAAGAGAGAGAAAAGAAAATAAACAAAACATGATATGTGATTACTTTTATTATTATTATTATTATTATTGGGGCATTTAGACCATTTAAGGTAAATTCACACTCACAATGCATACAAAAAAAGTCGAACACAAGACCATTTAGTTGGAAGCATAAGCTCTCAACCAACAGGCCAAGATGATTACTTTTATTTTAATTATGCTGCCTTTTGTAATTGTAATTTTCAATTTAATTATATTTGAATTCAAATTTAATAAACAGAAAGATTAACTGTAATAATCAATGGACTCCCGGAGTCGAGATGCATTAAAAAAGTCCAAGTTATTCCCCACTAGACTTACTAGATTGCTTCCAATGAAATCTAATACTTTCGACAATTTGTCAATGATTTTTCTTTAATTTTTATTACAAATTTTATCGAGCTTTAATTATTAATATACATTGAATATGTTTTTTAGCTTGTAATCTTGTGCGATTAGCAAACATATTAAAACAAGAGAAGCAAATGGTTAAATTATTCTTTTTTAGTTAGTGCTAAAATTGTAATTATTTTTTTTTTCTTTTTAAATGGTTTATTTGATGTGATTTTCATATATCATCCAATCATGATTTTAGGATTTAATATGAGCCATCTGAAATTAATTTTCTATAGGATTAATTGAAAATTTATTTTAATTGGTTGTAGCAAAAATATGATGATTCAATAATTTATTTAATTTGTTTATTTATTTAATTTGTTTATTCATTTAAATTAGACATTAATTATTGAGAAATTAGAGTGAGAAAGTCTTGGATTTCTGAAGGTTGTTTTCAAATTTGTTTTGTTTCACGGCCGTTGGCGGGTTTCTCGTCAAAGATGGCGGATCTTACTCCGGCCATCTCCAGCGACCGGAATGCTCCTCCGTGGACTGGGTTGTCACCGGCGACGAATGTCAAAGCTTTCGCAGAGAAGTCAACTGGACTGGTGATCCGGGAGCCGAATCTAGATAAATTATCAGTTTTATCTCCTGTTATGGGAAAAGGAAACAAATTATGGTTGAGGAAGTGGCGCAATCTCCTTATCTTGGATTGGGTTCTTCATCATCCAGAAGGAAACTATTTGTGAACAGATTTGCTAATCTGAAATCTGTCTCAATGAATGAAGCTGATAGATAGTCTAATATAATTCAAGGCTGCAAATCAGGTGTTTCTGAAAAACCTGTAGATGATGGAAGCATTTCTAATACTACTTATGTAGACAAATCCAATTTCTTGGCTTTAGAGCAAGAAAATTTTAATCCCTGGAAAAAACGTCCTTATATCAAAGTTAATCTCCTTGCAGATAGTCATTTCCTGACGGAAGATGGATCAGCAATCAAGCTTTATGAACAAAATGTGAGAGGCAATTCTGAAAAACTGCAATTCTCCTTAGTTGTCAAGGTGTTTGGGAGACGTTTACCAATTCAGTTGGTAGCAACTGAACTAAGACGTCAATGGACGAAGTTTGGCAAGTTCCACTTAACCAGTCTGGGTTCGGACTGGGTGTTATGCTCTTTCTTCTCAAAGGATGCAATGGAGAATATCCTTTCGGGAGGACCTTGGTTTCTCAATGGCCACTTAATTGGGCTAGATAAATGGAATTCTGATTTTAATCCTAACTCTCTTAAGGGGCTATCTTCTCCTATATGGATTAGAATGCCTAATCTACCGCTATTTTACTGGGACGAAGTTAATGTCTCTAGGATTGCTTCTTCAATCGGAGAACCCATGTTAATAGATGGAGATATGTTCCAATGGGGGAGAAGAGAATTTGCAAGGATTTGTGTCCGAATACAACTTGATCAGCAGCTTTCTTTGGTGTTTGGGTGGAAGGTGTTAATGGATGATTTTTTCATCGAGTGGAGTATGAAAAAATTTTTGTATTCTGTGAAAGCTATGGTCACATTGGCCACTTGGAAGATTCATGTAAGGCTGCTGTGAAGACCTCTAAACCGTTGGAGAAACCCAACCAAAAGGCATGTTATGACTCTGCTCTGAATAAAGATTCAAGTATTATTTCAGAAGACAAATCCTGGCACTTGGTTAACTACAGGAGATTCAAGAAAAAGAAAGTGAAATATCAGAGAATGATATTCATTCCCAAGGTTGGTGTTCAACCTATTGCTGATAAGAAGGATGATCCTAAATCTGTCTTGGATAAAGATAGAAGTCCTTCTAATAATGGGACCAGTGAGAAATCTATGGGTATTAAAGATGTGGAAAAGAAGACATGTGAGAATTCTAAAGAAATGGAAGTGGCTGACAAACCTATTAGAATCCGCTATGCTGGGGAGAATGCTGTAGATTCTATTAACTTGGATGTTGATACCAGTTCTCAGGCCAGAGAAATGTTGGAAACAAGAGAGCCCTTGGGGAATATTGATGAAGATTCTATCCAGTTAATTCAAATACCTTCAGGAAATAAATTTGAAATTCTAAACTCTATAAGTGAAGATTCTTCCAAACTGGATGTTCAGGGAATTTCTAAGATTGATGCTGTGGAAGAAGGTGAATAGTGGAATGTTTGGAAGAAGGTCAGGCCATTATCAAAGTTGAAGCAGCTCCAGAAATGAAGACCAGTGACAACAATGAAGGAAAATTTTCTGCTCTCAATCATGGAAAGGTTTATGTCCAGAAAACTAAATTGGCTAAAGAACTAAGATATCTTGGTCCTTTAAGTACAGCTTCAAGATTAGAGAAGAACAATTCAAGCAAAAGAAGGGGTGGAGGCTCTTCCCCATTCTTACCAAAATGAGTTCCATTAGTTTTTAGAATTGTAGGGGGGCAAATAAGAAGGATGCCTCCCTATATTTGAAAGAATTCATCAAAGATTGGGATGTATTCTTTGTTGGTATTATTGAAACTAAAATTTCTTCTCTTTCTAGAGAAGAATTTGAAAGAATTTTTGGAGACAAATGGGATTTTTTTTTGCAGCCATCTAGAGGTAGTTCTAGTGGTATTTTACTTATTTGGAAAGCTAATGTTGTTTCTTTTTCTTTGATCCAAGCTTCAGAATAGTGTGTTTTGGGGGAGCTAAAGATTCCCAATAAGGGAAATTGGTTGATAGCTATAATTTATGGAAGTAGGGAGATGCAGGGAAGAAGGGATTTATGGGAATTTCTGGACAGAAATTTGAAGCAAGACAGTCCTACCATTGTAGGTGGTGACTTTAATTGCATTCTTTCCCAGGATGATAAGAAAGGAGGAAAGAATTTTTCTTTTAAAACAGGTCCTTTTGAAATGAAGGCATGTATGATTAGAAATGATCTTCATGATGTGGGCTACATTGGCTCTAGATTTACTTGGTGTAACAACAAAAGTAGAAGTGCAAGGATCTTGGAAAGACTTGACAGGTGTTTGCTTAACTCAATTGCCTTGAACTAGATCAATCAACCAATTGTTAGACATTTGAGTAGGATAGCATCAGATCATTGTCCTATTGTTTTAAAAATGTTTGATCCGATTATCCAGAAAACCAAATTACAAAGGTTTGAAGATGTTTGGTTATCCTATTCAGCTGCAACTTCTATTATTAAATTCTCTTGGGCTAAACCTGTGAAGGGAAATGATATGGAAGCTCTTAATAAAAAGTTCTCAAGGGTTCTTAAAACCTTGTTCTTTTGGAGCAAGGCAAAACACCAAAGACTAGAAGATGTGAAATCTGGTTTAAAGGCGGAAATTGATGAAATCCAACAGCAAGAGGACCGTGACCTGCAGCTTTCTTATGAAAGAAATCGGTTTTTAAGAACCAAAATCAGTGAGTATAACTGTACACTTGCTCGGTTAAATACTTGGTGGAGACAAAGGGCTAAAGCAAAATGGATGAAGGATGGGGATTCAAATTATAAATTCTTTTATGCATTTGCTAATGGGAGAAGGAATAATAATCATATTAAATAGTTGAAAATGTTGAAGGGGAGCTAATCGAAGATCCTGAAAGCATTAGAAGCTGCTTCTATGATTTCTTCTGCAAAAATGGGATCAAAGAGCTTGTCTTTTGGACAATTGGCCACCAAATGTGAATTTGCTTAATTAAGATAGCTGCAGATTTCTGGAATCTGCCTTATATTTTGCTAAAATTGAGAAGGTCATTCAAGATCTTGGCAACAACATTGCTCCTGGATTGGATGAAATCACCTATTCCTTTATTAAAGCTTACTTGAGTATCATTGGGAAGGACGTTTGGAAAGCCATTTTTTTATTCTTTAGCTCAGGTTCTATGTCTCCAAAGTGGAAAGAAACAATGGTGGTGCTTATCCCAAAAGTAAGCAATCCTTTATATCCTTATAACTTTAGACCTATAAGCCTTTGTATGTCTATTTATAAAAGTGTAGCAAAAGTGTTAGTAAATAGAATGATGAAGGTTATTCACAACCTTGTTTCGGAGGAACAAGTTGCTTTTATCAAAGGTAGGTCTTTATCTGATCATGTTCTTATTGCTCAAGAACTATTCCATAAATTCAGACTTTCTAGTTCAAAAAGAGGTTTGATGGCAATCAAATTAGATATGGAGCAAGCTTAAGATAGTATGGCATGGAAAACTCTTAAGCAAGTTTTGAACTATTTTGGTTTTCCAATAGGCTACTCCAATCTTGTTATGGAATGTATCACTAATCCTAATTTCATTATTCATGTTATGGAGTTGGGTTGGAAGGAATTAAAGGGAAAAGTGGCTTTAAACAAGGGTGTCCTTTATCACCCTATTTATTCATTCTTTGCTCTCAGCTACTTACCAATGCTTTCTCGTATGAAGGAAATAGTTTGGAATTAAAAATTGCTCCCACGGCTCCTAGGATTTCTCACCTATTATTTGCAGACGACAATTTGGTGTTCTCTTTGGCCAAGAGGGAGAATTAATTGAAAATCAGGAAAATTACCTTTGATTATTGTAAATGGACGGTCAAAAAGGTTAATTTCTCTAAATATGCTATTATTTTCAGTAATAATATGGCGAGGAGGAGGGAATTATCTAATCTTATGGGATTTATGGAGGTCAAAGAATTCAATTACTTGGGCATTAAAATGACTTTAAGGAGACTTGTTATAGCTGATTTTTCTGTCATTTTGGAAAAAGCTGCAGCAAAGTTGGATATATGGGGGAATAAGCTCATCTCTATGCCAGGAAGAGTGGTTCTTATAAAAACAGTGTTTCAAGCTCTTCATGTCTTCTACTCTTCTTTATCCATGGTACCTTTGAGTATTCTGAAGAAAGTGGACAGATTAAGCAGAGATTTTCTATGGAGTAAAAACGGTGGAAGTAATGGGATTCATTATATAGCTTGGAATGATGTTTGCATTCCAGAAAACCAAGGAGAACTGGGTATCCTAGCAGCTACAGATTCAGTTGAACCACTCAAAGCAAAGCTTGCCTGGAACTTCTTAAAGAAGCCTCATTCTTTATTGAACAAGTCCTTATCCATTAAGTATGGAAGAAAGGTCTGGGATGTGGAAAGAAGACCAAATTCATCGCCATCTTGGAGATTAATTTTCAGTGGAGCTAAAATGCTAAGACACATTGTGAAATGGTGTATTAAAGATGGATCTTCTATTAATATCATGAAAGATAATTGGATTATGGATAGAAACTTGGAGAGGTGGCCAACATTCATTACAATAGGAGATGACAACTTGCCTAACCTTTATGAATTTATTTCAGAAGGAGAGTGGATTACTGACAAATTAAAATGTTTCTTTGGAGAGGAGCTAGTGATGGTGATTTGCAATATTAAAATTGATCTAGACAGAGATGAAGACGAGTTGGAATTGCTGAAAAACTTCTCCGAGAAGACAATTTCTGCTATGGCTAGAGAAAGGAAGTTAATTCTGGAAGATAATAATCTATCTTTTATTCAGCATTGGAAGGATATTAAAAAGCTTAAACTAAATCCCAGGATTGCATTTATTTGGTGGAGGATGTTGAAGAATGCAATTCCCTCTTGTGATTTTTTAATGCATAGAAGATTATTGAATAATAATCTTTGTCCTAGAGGCTGCGATATGATTGAAGATGGTGAGCATGTGGCGGTGAGTTGTTTGAAATTGATTCAAATTATCCAATTGGCTAATAGATGGGGATTCTCTTTACCGGTTTTCAACTGTCTACAAGATTGTCTTCTTTTCTTTAATAAGATTGAGAAGAATAATTGTTTCATTGCAAAAATTTATTGTTCTTTGGTTTTCAACTCTTGGAGGAGTAGGAACAAACTTATCATGAAGGTTGTGAAATGGGAGCTGAGTTTATTTTGTCAAATGCCATTACTCATACAGCCGTTTCATCTAATGATCCATACACGGACCACTGGGGTGCTAACCAGCTTCTTAAGCTGAATTCTTCCTTTTGGCATCCCCCTCTACCCGGTTGGATTAAGGTGAATATTGATGCCTCTCTTCTTCCTTCTAACAAAGCAGGAATAGGAGGAATATTCAGAGATAACAAAGGAAGAATGCTTATATCCTTTAGATTCTTAGTGATTCATTGGGACATTGGTTTTCTGGAATTATTGGCCTTCCGCTTGTTGAGAGATGTTATGAAAGAAGAGATGATGGATGCTAGAGGTCTTATTATAGAGAGCGACAGTTCTAATGTCATTAGCTATCTACATAGATCAATTGCTAAAAAAGGATTGGTTATGTCTTCAGATGAAGATTTTGATTTTCTTAAAAGGTTTGAGGTAACTCTTTTTCAGTCTGTTAGTAGAGATTGTAATAAGTTAGCTCATTGGTGTGTTAACTTTGCTTTGAGAGGTAATTTTTATTGGGATGTTCAAGAAGTAAATAAGGTTCCTCCTTTTTATTCTTTGTTAAAGGAGGAAAGTGATAGGTTTACTATCACTTAAGTGTTTTGTACCTTGTTTCTTTTTATTTTTATATTATTGATATTGCATTTTCTCAAAAAAAAAAAATTGTAATCATTAAATTATTTGAGTACTTATAGAAATTAAGTTGAAAAATAATTCTTTAAGAGCAATAAATTTATTATTAATTAAATATGAACTTGAAAATCATTCCTTTCCATCCAATTAAAAAAAAAAAATAAATGAAATTC